CCCCCCCCCCCGATAATTATTGCACAGTCCCTTATGGCCTACTAAGAGATTTGCGCACAACGCGGTTTTAAGTTTGGGTTAAAAAGGGCGTTTATGCGGAAAATCCCGAAGCCCAGAATAACTGCTATGGGAACTGGGATTTCCAAATTTTGGAAACTTGAAACTGCAACGGCAAAATTAATGGGACTTTATAAATTGGAACTAGAAGTAATGGGGAAAGGAGGCGCTAAAATAGACAGAGGACTGAGCAAAAAGAAATGCAAAAATGCAAAATTTAACGGCATCAACTATATATACATCTTATACTTATTAATTATTCATGATTATTCATCGACCAACCAGGGTTTCTTATTTGTACCACGGTGCAGTAGTTTGAAACCCCCATCAAATACGACCGCACCCATTCCAAAATTCTAGTACTTTGAAATATTTCAAAGTCCTACTACTCGGACTTTGAAATATTTCAAAGTACTAGAACTTTGAAATAAAAACAAACATAACAAAAAGAGTATAAGATGTCGGCTACGCCTCGGCAGTTGACTTTCCACTCGGATTTTGAAACCCCAATAGAATACAGCAACTCGTAATTGAAACATTACCTCACGCAAATACGCGGCACACTTAAAATTCTCGTTAGGAGACGAGTGAATGCCGGCCGCACCGTTCTTGAGCACATTGGCTATTGCACTGATTTTAATTACTGTGACTGAGTTTGCATTTGGCCAGTTTGCCGAATCATAATTATGACAGACAGTTATTTGAGATAAACACAGATATCTAGCAGACGTCGGATCTCTCCATAAGTAATATAATCAATCAAAATTGTTGATGAAAGACCAGCTCCTAGTGATGCTTGAACTTATTAGCTAGAATTGATGATTTGATGTTTGATTTTTAGCTATTGGACGGCTTTAACTGAACATAATTTGGTTTTCTGCTTTAATTTTAAGGCACGGCTTCCTAGGAAATTGAACAATTCAATCGGTGAAGGTTATGATTTATATCAGTTTCGAACAACTTTGTCAGTGAAATCTTCTGTGCAAACAGCACTGCCTTTTGAAGAATCATTTTGCAACTAAAACTGTCTCCAACGGGAACATAACTGATGTGAAGGTAAAGGTACATTAGTCTTTATCTACAGCGTTGTTGTTTTTCTTTTTTTGTTGTTGTTGTTGTTTTTGTTGTTGTTGTTGTTTTTTGTTGTTGTTGTTGTTGTTTTTTTGTTGTTGTTAGGCCGTCTTGCTTGCTTAAAAATGGCATGAAAAATAGAGAGGGAGTATATGTTTAAGTATCTGTTCCTTTCCCGCTCTTGCTTCTAGGCATGAAAAATCTCGAAAATTAAAAGGTATTCGAGCTGAAGGAATTATAAAGCGGAGGGCAACTTTTTTCTGTTATCTCTTTCATTGAGAACTAAATAGAAATTGCTCCAAAGCAAAAAAAACGGTGCATGGAAGTTTTGCTTAAAAGTGATGATTAGTAAGATATACATCTCTAACCCGCCCTTAGTTGGGCAGGTGTACCAACAAGCTGTTATGATATCGATGTAGGAAATAAATATATACTGAGTGATAATCGTATTCACAGCATCGGTTTAACCTTGTTATCAAGCATACTACACAAACAAATTATTATCAAAACTACCGTGCAATCATTAAACGCACTTGACTTGTCATATAAATCAAATGACCCTCTCCATAGTATTAAAACTTTCGCGGTCAGATGGTTAGTTTTTTCAAAATATTAGCAGCATGATGAAAAATATAATCGCTTTTTCCCAGGAGGCTTGATATTATGGGAAGACCTGTAAACTGGGTCTTATTCTGAAGTAACACCGATATAATGAGTCAATGTTCCAACCATTCAGATTTCTCGCAAATATCGTCTTATGATCACCGGTCACTCGAACAATCTCAGATCGCGAAAGTCTATATTCAAGTCTAAGATTCATACACTTATTTCAATAAAGTTAGTCACCTGGAAAGCTTCAAAGCTGAGACCTGCAAGGATTATGGGTAGATACATTTTTCAACTGCTTTAATAACTATTAAGGAATTTTAGATCTTTTACCATTTACAGTCTCACCTCTTCTGAGCATCCTAAAGCTGCAAATCGTATCAAAAGCTTTACTTGTTTGATATTAAAAAAGTCCCATGATCCTCAGTGATCTCAGCTTTCTAGGTTTTTTGGTGACTAACTCCTTATTGAAATAAGTGTATACAGCTATTTAAAAAAAGTTGAATGCTGAGTACTTCAAACTGAATAGCGCATTCCAAGACGAAAGGCCACTATGGGTCTCGTTATTTGAAACATGTAGTTAGTAAATTGTTGCGGGTGGAAAGCACTAAATATCAAATATATAATTATTATTCACTTTACTTTAGACAATATTGCATAAGCCCAAAATGCAGTTCGGTCTTGGATTACACTATTTAGTACGCTGAAGCCGCTGTATACTACCTCAGTTTGAAATTGCTGAATGTTTAAATTATTACGTATATACTAAGCTAGTTCGTAGATACATGTAATAAGTTTCTTTTGATATATAAGTTCAGATAAATTAATCAAATTATAATACACTCAACAAATTTACTCGATTCTGATTGGACAAGAGGAGTACAATTGTACAGTAATAATGATAATAATACGTTATTCACACATCGCATAAAAATGAATTACAATTTGTTAACAAGTAGCAAGAAAATTTACAAAAATCGTTAAGATATGCTTTACTAGGGACTGGACTACATTTTAAAGGGGCACTTGGATGAGAACGCCCCAATTTTTGAAAGTTTAAATAATTAAAGTATTTGAAGATAATATGACTCAATTATGATTATGTTAACATGATTAGTGAAAATTTTAGCCTGGGAGCCACTTGCAGATGAGAAATTGAGGCTCAAAAGCGAAAAGAATGACGTCATTTACTCACAATTTAGATGCTGAATAGAATTGTTCATTTTTATCCCCCACTTTTTACTGTGAAGAAAATAAGTTGCTTGGCTACTATCGAGGCCATGTAGATAACTTTAAACAAGTTTCAAGTCATTTTCAATTTTCATCGATTTTCATCCAAGTGTCCCTTTAAGATAAATAAACAAATTTACAATAATTTAAATATGAAATTTGGCTTACTATTACTACTACTACTAATTATTAACGACTAAGGGCTGGTTCACACTTCAACATAAGCATAAACATAGGCATAATAACTAAGAGACTTGACTCAATGTCATGATATGGAAGCCCCAAATAACGGGTCCCGAGCAAAATTTGAGGGTAGGGTTTTGCCCTCTTGATGTTCAAAACGTGTATGGTTCTTCAATAAAATCGTGAAGGTTATTCAGCGGTATTTGAGCAAACGTACATCGTGGGCTCAAATCGAATGTTACAGACGCGATTTTTGAAAATATGTTAAATTTTGCCGGTATTATGCTTCTAAAAATCTTGGTGTCCGGAATAAATCTTAACAAAGTTATTCCTTTACCATTCTTGACTATGATCAAAATCGCACCTCAATTGCTGCAAAAATCGCCCGTGAGTCTCTAGCTGTCAAAGCAAGGCATGCGAGAAAGAGAGATAGAAGGAGAGAGACGAAGCCAAGCAAAAGAGAATCGTAAATGTTGTATGTGTTGAATAATACTATGTATAAAATTCAATGAAAGACCGAAGTATATTTATTTGGTCAATAGATACTTGAAAACACAGTTAAAACGAAGGCTCTAGCACTAAGACTGGGCATAGAAAATTCTATATCATGGTCTTGAAAAGGGGTATTTCAGGTGCGAATGGGAACACATGTTCAAAGTAATAACTTTAGGGAGAAGAAATTGGGAGAGGGATTAGATTCAGTACTTGTTATTGCATAGTCAAGATTCGAAATTGCAACAAAACAGAGGGATCAAAAGCAGAAAAATACGTTGTCGCAGCCTGGTAATTAAAAATGAGTTAGGTACTTTGGATTTAACTCTCAGGCGGAAAAAATTCATGATTTTGAAATGCTCGATTACATGCACAGCAAGATACTTTAAGAGTTCAAGGTAATGAGTATAAAATAAAATCGTGCAAAAATTATCGAACTTTTTATCAGGTTTCTTTGATCAATTTAAGTTTTCACTCTCAATAGAAAATTTGTGCGGCTGGCAAACAACCCTATATCAATTTCCCAAGTGAGAAGTGAAACACATGACTATTGGTTGATCGAATTTCACAATCGCTATCAGAGATCAAGTAAACATCCAGAAATGATAATCCAATGTAAAACGATTTACACCTTGCCTAGTACGCACTCTTAGGGATCCCGAGAGCTTCGTAGTACAACAAACCTTGCCCGAATTTATTAAGTATATTTGATGGTAAGTCTTGTCTTGAGTTTATTTATTACTATTTTGAGTGTCACCATTTTGAGCTATTTTGAAAGCCAATTTAAAAATCTTAAGGGTCTATGCGATATGTACTTTAAGCATTTCTTATTCTGGCAGGTGTTTTATTTTAGGTAATATTAACTATGTTTTGATTTGACAAGATTTTCAATTCTAATGTCCTCAAATGTTTGAAATCAGATCATATGATTTTGGCTTAACATTTTCACAACATTGTAATAAACTAAGAAAAAATATTCATTCGACTAATTATTATCTAGAACTATCTTGTCAACACCATTGCATTTTTCGTTACGTCGATGAAGGTAATATTCTTAAGAGTAAATATCTGGAGATTAATGAGTTGTATTCTAATATAAGTTTTGCCTCTACGCGTTTCCATTGGACATAGTTAATAGAGGGGACTGGCATTCCCCTCAATTAACTATGCATTGGACGAGAATTAGGTAATAGCGTTTCTTTACTCTCATTCTACATCTGTAGGTGACAAACAAATATATTTAGGTTTTAAATGCTTTTCTAATGCGAAAAAAATTAGTTAGAGTTCAGGGAGTTTAATATTATTCCACTAAATGCGAAGTTTTTACGAGATCCTGGGAGACAAACACAATCCTGTTCTTGTAATAAAGGATTTTTTGAAACTGACTGACACCATGACAAGAAAATAATGTTCAAGAACAGGAATCGAAATGCTGTGGTAAATTATTGGTAAGAGAATATCGGAAGGGTGAGTAGATAAAAAGGTGCAAAATTATTTCCGAAAAAAATCTTGTTTTTTAATCTTTCACCCATTCGTTTTCATTCAAGTCTTAGAATACGTTGATTTAACAAAATTGAAGTATCCTAAATTTAGAAAGAATCATTATGCACTGATATTGCTTATAAGATAAGAATTATCATATATATACATACACACAGAATGGAAATATAAATCTGGCCGCTCAAAGCTACATACAGGTGTAAAGTAATGCAAAATAATATCTTAGCTAACCAGCTCTCTACAGGTTCTCTGTCCTCTATGAATCTATATTCAACCCAAATACAATAAATAATTCAATCATTCGAATTGTTGAAAATAATTACATGAAGATCTTATTCCCGACTGTCAAGGATCACAGTAAACCACTAAAAAAAACTAATCCAAGGGGGATTTCTCGAGCTGTGTCGGGGAACTTAAAATGCATGCTATCGTGCGGCTTTTTTTCTTATTGTTAGTGTATGGTTGCGAAATCAGTATGCTACTAGATCAGCACCGCTATTTGAAGTACATTTTTTGCGGTTTGAAACTAATGGAAACTATTTTTTATGTCCAAGACTTTTTGGTTTACACGCGCCGCAAGGCGTCTTTGTTTAGATTAGAGGGAGGGGACTCTACTGATGTGTTAAATCGTTTGATCTAAAGTATTACTGAATATATTTCCCTTCCCTTGGCTAGACGGTAGACTTAAATCTATCATAGAAGAAAAAATGGATTTTGGATCAATCACAATCCCTTGAAAAGGAGTCGTTCTTATTATTTCGATGATTAACCCTTGCAGTCACCTGCGGTGTTTACTGGAAGCTCTTCGACCTTAATGGACATTTAACTTAACTAATCTTTGATGACCGAAATTGAAAATAACTTGGGAAAGGATCCAGTTAAAGAAACACAATAGACACCCCATGGAATCAGAGAAGTAGTGGCGTAAATGAAAGGAAAGCTGTAATGTGAGTAACCTTTCTTTCGCAGAGCTCCATCCACAGTGGAATGCAGCACTGAGCTTCCAAAATGTTGGCTATAGCTCTATTGATCTTTGGATTAGGACCTACATGGACATCAGCGCTTGATAGTGGTAACGAAACCGACTCTATTCACTCCACAAGGTATTGTTACAAATTTTCTTTTTAACAAATATACAATTAACTTGAATATTCTTTACTATGGAATATGGTTCAAAAATCTTGTGGTTTTTGAGTTACTACCAAAAGGGTGAAGTTGACATTTTAAAAATATTTTCTCAGTCACTTTGATAGCCTTGAGTCCTGACATGGTATGATAATAATAAAAATAAAATGGGTTTATGAAGCGCGTATCTAGGTCGACTGCTCTACTCTAAGCGTTGTGATAAGTGATAACTGAAATAAAACGATAACATTAGATGTTATAATAATATTGCAGCTACGTAACTAACAAAAAAAAGCAGATTAAAACAAGTAGCTATTAAGATTTGATTTGGTATATACTTCTATAAAACTAGAATTGATCCGAAAACTGTTGATAATTGTTCCCTACGAGTCATTGCTCTTCGATCATTCACTTGTTAAATATTGTAGAATAGCTGTAGAAGAAAAGCTAAAATTTACGTACTCTCAGTTTGCAGGAACAGAACTAGTTATCTGTATCTTGGCTTTACGCGTATCTTGGCTTTACGCGTATTTATTTATTTATAGATGCTTCTTATGTGTAAAATATAGCAAGCGTGTAAGCCATGGAATACGGGAATCCATGAAATTATCTAAGAACATTTATAAGGGAATTTTCAAAATTCAATATTGTATTTGTCCGTGTTTCACTGAAATTACAGTGAGGACCGTGAACACTTCGAGTTTTTTGCAGGCTATTATTTCCTGAATTTTCTACCGCTTCAAACCTTCTAAAATGAAGCATTATCAATTCTGTATAGAACGGTCTGAACACAGGTGAAACGTCAGTCACATCAAACAGTCCTTCTCAGGACTACATCCACCCGGATAATCATAATACTTCGATTAACATTATCAGTTCAAATACACCAAGTCACTCGGATCAAAATAAATTTTCTTTCCTATCAATTAGCCAAGAGATAGTTCAAGAGTGTTCCGGCAAGGTTCGAGAATCCTTACTGGCGGTAAAGATGGCATCACTTGGAAGAAATGTTTCACCCCTAAGCGCATTAATGTAAACTAGCAGATAAGGTATCTCGATCAAAAGTTCTTTATGTGGTTTTGTTGTAAAAGGAATGCTTTTTGAGGTCTAGAGGCTGTGGTCACACACGACGTCTTTCCGTCTGAAAGATTCTTAATGTTTAATCCTTAGAATCTGGATTTCTTATAATTGAAAAGTAAGTCAGTCTTTACCCAATTGTCTCCTAAGTGAAAAAAATGAAAAGCGAAGAATAAAAAGGGAATGTATTTTTCGTGAGGGGTTAATGAAACCTCGAACACAAATTGGAAGAGCTTCAATGAATATATGGTGGATTTATTTCCCTTTTAAGGATATTTCTAATATAGGTTTAATCAGAGCACAGCAAGACTAACTAACAGAAGTTTATTAGCTCAATCAATCTACGATGGTAATCATGGCTGGTAATTCTATTTAAAAAAACTATCGCTTTTGAAATTTTAGGTTTACAATTTTATGAACACCCGGGCCTGGTTGTACGAAGAGTGGATAGCGCTATCCGACAGATAAATTTTATCACTGGATAAATTTATTTTATAACAGCATCGACTTTATCCACGAGATAAATTCTATCCCCTGGATAAATTTATTGGATAACAACATCGACTTTATCCACTGGAAAAGGATCTAACTGTTGGATAGAGCTATCCACACTTCGTACAACCAGGCCCAGTGCTCAAGACTTGTCTCTAGTGGCGCCAAGTTATAAATTTTAAACTTGATCTTCCGTTTTCCTAGTTCGAAATTCATTTTGTTGGTTTCTAGTTTTCCTCGTTTGCAATAAATAAATTCTAGCAAGAATTGCCTTCCCCTTCATACATCATTATCTCAAAACCTATTTATGAGGGGTCCACTAAATCAAGTTGTTTCATCTATTTTGGTGATATTTTTGATGTATCCTTAGTTATAACCTAACTTTTAAGATATTATGTATTACTGTAGATAATTTCACTAGATTTTCAGCCACCAATAAAAATTCTTGTTGAAGATGTACTTTTGAAATAAATTATCCAACAACAACAAGAAGATTATTTTTAATACTCATTTAAATGTACTTGCTACCTGATTGTTTGAGCTTTAAAAAGTCTGGATAAATTGTAAATGGTACGAAATATAATACAATTTGCAGAAACCTTAAATCACAGTGTTTATCGAAACACATATTTTCTATTTGCGGAACACATATTTGCTATTTGCATTGTGCAGAGACGTTTTGTATAGAAGTTTAGTCCGTTTTAATTGAATCTATATCAGCTAACTTGCAAAACCACCATACTGAAAGGTAAAAATTCGAATAGTACTGATTAAGATGTGTTCTTGCGATTAACATTTTAAATAATTCAGGGTTTACTTTTAAATCTACAGGAATCAAATCGGCAGTGTTTTGAAACATGCCTCTAGAAATCAGCTGATGCGTGGGAACCAGCAGGGGTTTTTTGTAACAAAGTTTTTATTCCAAACTGTGTACGCGTATGTCTGTAAAAACATTACTCTTGTCTTCTAAATAGTTACATATTATTCTGTATACTTATTATTCCTACTAAAAATTTAGCTGGTAGCTTTATCTATTTTCTTTGACAATAATATTCGAGATATAGATTTTTCAAGTTCCACCATCACGTGCAGGCGGTCATGTTATCGGGGAATAAATTATTTCTCTTGTATTGTCCTGTCATCCAACATGGCTGCCGTCACGTGATGGTGTTAACCTCTCAGTTTTATCTATAGCTATTCTTAGTAGACGCTTCTAAGTATTGCAAGTAAAGATTACTTACCGTTTTAGAAGTCATACTTTCATCACGGATTGACACTCTCTTAGAAAGCTTTCTTGTTAATATGAATTGAAATCTAAGTAAAAACATCATTATACATTTATAACTTCGATTATTCAATGAAGTAATTAGATTAACCACCCTCAATCGGCGATAGCAAAACAAGAAATGTATCTGCCTGTGAAACAAGTATCCGATAATGCTTTTAAAAATTAAACTTATACAACAAATATAATTTGCGGCATTTTTGTATGAATGTGTAAAACGGGATTTAGTTTCACTTGTTTCAATGTAAGAGTTCTCTTTGGTGTATTTTGCCGAACTTTAATAATTAATTTAAATCTTTCGTAGTGGCGAGATAAAAGAACAATAAGTTCTAAAGCTGTGCTGTTAGAGAAAATATACTTAGGTGGCAAAATGGTAGCCCACCGTTTTTGTGATTGATTGATTTAACAATAGGCTCTTCGCAGCACTTGGTCACGTGGTACAACGTGACCAACAAACCAGGTCTGATAAAAAATGACCGACATAGCTCGAAAAAGCAAAAACGTTTAAACTTGGCTATAGTACTAATTTTAAAGGTGCTCTTTCTTTTCCTGCAAAGAGCCTATTGGTTGATGCTCTAGTGATTCGAAATCAGTGTAGTTATCTTTCACGTGATTGGTAACATTCAAATAGTTGTATCACGTGATCATCACGCATCCTATATGGAGCTTAACTATAGACTTTTAAATCCTTTTCCAGTGTTACTAACGCAAGAGTCACGCCAACCAAGCATGTTGGTATTCCATTAACGAGGTCTACCGCTGACCGAGAATTTTACCTGGATACGGTAGCTCCACGTACAAGAAACCATCAAGAAAAGAAAAACCAAGAAAAACCTCTTGCTAGCAATGGATCACAGTCAGATAATTCAACTGAAGCCCTTCTACAAATGATTTTGAATAATATCAAACTGAAATCTGATAGTAGGCTCAGACCTAAACTTGGAAGTAAGTACAGGTTGATGCGATACATTGTTGTAACACAACTGTCAAATTGTTAATAATTATTATTGAGGATGTTTCTTCTAAGCTTTCTAGGCCATATGATGCTATTATTGGGCAAAATGCCAAAGTCAACTGCAAATTGCGGCGCAGTGTTAAAGCAGAAAATATAATATTTTGGGCATCGATGACCGCTGACCGAAATAATATAAAGTTATACAAATTAGTTGTTGCCAAGTTCATCTAGTCAACATTTTAATTTGTTAGTGTTTTTTTTTTTTTTTTTTTTTTTTT